ATACTTGTATCTAATGTTCCCTTCTTTAATATTGGTGTTGTTTTGTCGCCTTTTTAGGCGTATAATATATATTTTTAAACCAAAACAAAATGTATCAGGAATTTCCTTTTCCTTTCAACCCAATGCAATCTAAAAATAATCATTGGATTTTTAAATTAACAATCAGCTGATAACGACAAAAGGTAGAAATAGTTTAAATCGCAAATGAAAGACTCCAAAAATAACTTAATAACTAATAAAGAAAAAAATGTAATAACAAAAATATAAAAGTTACAAAAAATGAAAATTGAAGAATCCTCTGTTGTGCATTATGTCACTAACCATTGTTGATGACTTTTGAAGTACCACTGTAAGTTGTACTGTCAGATCCACTGTCTGTTACTTCTTCCTATAGATGTTAAATTAACAAATTAAGCAACAACACAAATAGTAACTGAATACAAGAAGAAGAAATAAGAAGACGCACACAATGTCATGTTGTTTTTATCTATTCATTTACGCAAATTCCTATGCTCAGAGGGTGAAATGTGTAAATTTAAAGAAATTACCACCCAGCATATCATAGAATCGTTTACACGGTACATCTCAATATTATAAAGTTGAAGGCCAAAATCAAATATCACTCCTTAATATATACTACTGATATAAGGTTTAGGAATATGTTATGAAAGTTACGGACGATTGTTCGAACAGACGGCCGGACAAGATCACCGCTTGAGTACAAGCATAACAAGACAGTATGTCAAACTAGCAAAAAACCGGGTATTTCCATATTGTATTAAATGTTATTGTCCTGAAAATGCACATAATATTCGCCATTGGACGATAAACAGACATCAATCATTTAACATCATCCAATAATCGTGGCGAGCATGCAACCACGTGACCAACGAAGCAGTTTCGTATGCAAAAAAGTACATAAACAAATTTTTGTATTCAATGAAAACTGTTTTGAATCTTGAATTGCCTCGATTTACCAATGTACACCAAATTCGGCAAATAGCACCCTTTCACTAAGTGGAATACAAACATGCAAAGGCGTGTTTTTTTCAGAATTGTTTTTCTTTCTTTTTATTAGTTTTGACATTTAAGCTAACATTTAGAAACTACTTAAGATGTTTTTACACTAACTCCATTTAGAGTGTACTCGTTGTTATCTTAGTTTGAAAAGGCATGGCTTACTCATAAGCTGAAATTGGGCTTTTAACTAGCTTTCAATTTCAGTAACTCCGAGTACTTTTAGAATGGTAGTTTGTGACTTTTGTCTTTTCGTTAGTAGTTTTTCTACGTAGTAATGACGTTTTTTAAGTTTTTGCCAAAATAAAACAAGTCCCCTTTCCAAAGAAATCCAAGCGTTGTCCATTCGTTCTAACCAATATTGTGTCATAGTATATTGTTCTATTTTTTAACTGTCCCCTAGACCATGTAGGTATTCAATATTTAAACTGGTCAATGTCCATCTCATGTTAATGTACTTTTCCCATGTCGGGAACCTCGTTAATGGTTGTGTTGTAATATAATAATGTCCCTTTTTCGCTATTTGGGAAACTTGACGTTGGTGTCAGATCTTTGATGATTAATGTCGAATTTGTTCTCACGTATAGACTTAGTGCGTGGCAAATTGTATGGACATCTATTTATTGTTGAAGATTTTGTACTGACCTCTAAATGTCTTTTGGCTATTTATTTCGTTTGGTTGCTGTCTAATTGATGTTTGTCTCATAACCTTTCCTACGTATTAAATTCTTTTTTTTTTCAAAATGCTGTTTTAACATGTATTCACTATATACAGATATCCATGAACAAAGTTCGCTTTCTTTTCAACTTGCCCAGTTTGTGAAGTGATCAGTATTGTTATTTGATCCTGACTTATAGAGTTAATTTCATGCCTAGATTAATAAAAAAATGCTTTCTTCCTTTTTTCTCTCTTATATTCGGTGGTTGAATGACAAAGTTCAATTTTTGCATCTTATTTTGTAATTCTGTGGCAAGAACTGTGACTTCATGTACATGAACTGCCGTTCCATCTATTCTTTCAGAAACGCAATCCAGCTTCTGTTCAATTATGGGTGCCTCTTCAGATCTGCCATCTTCTAAATTCCTTATTCGGGCATTTAGTAAGCGTAACAACTTTTTGAATTCGACAGCACAATTCGTTGTTTCATCCAAAGCTTGAATAGTTAAATCAACATCAGTTTCTTTTTTCGCTATTTTAAGGGGGTTTTCCCCCCAATGAGATTATTTTCTGTTTGAACTTAAATAAGCAACACTGATCGAGAAAATTAAATGTACCGTTTATAAATCTAACCAAATGCCTTTTATCAAATACGTCAATGGTTTTTATTTTTATAGTCAAAAAATATAAATGAAAAAATGGAAAATTACGTCCAAACGTTTACTTTAAAATTAAAATATGGATTAAGTCTAACGACACAGTGAATCATCAACACAAGCACCCCACCCCTTTTCTCATAAAATGGAATGACAGTAAGCGTGAGTACCTAAAATTGTAATTTATTTAGTTGCGTATAGGTAGAGACATATATACACATATATATGTCTCTGGTATAGGCGATTAGATATTTCCTGCTTTTTCGTTGTCCGTAAAGGACAGAAAATCTACCACATCTTTAGTATCAGTTGATTCTTTGAAACTGTCAAAGTCAAGTATTGTTCGTTCGTACTTTCTATAAAGTGCATTCTTATTCACTCTTTTCGCCAATCTGAAGTTGTCTCACTTTATCTTATGATTTGTTATTATTTGACAATCCTCTATCGGCAAATCATCTTTTTTTATCAATTTAGGTGATGATTATATATGCAGCAAAAAGCTAGTGCTTGTATCCTTTCCAGTGTTATGTGTATGCAAATGATTGTTTTATTAATTTTCGATGATTTTTTATGAGGAAGATGAGGATTGTTATTCAAATGTGGATATGAGACGAGGTTTCAGCGGTTATTTTTTCAGACGTCAGATAATTCACATTGCGTCAAAAGTGAATCCATCTTTATTCTAATTTCAGATAAACTCCTACAAGGAGTTAACTGGCGATTCTTGTGTATTTATAGACCTTGTCTAGCTAATCATTTTGCAATTTATACTTTCTGTCTATCTTGTATAGTTTTCTGTGCGAATTTCAAACGCGCGATTTTACGCCAGTACTTAAAACCTTCCATCCTTTATGTATGGATTTTACATAGATAAATAAAATCGTATAATATAAGCAAAATGAGGATGTTAAAATTGATGTAATGCCATTGTGCTTCTTCGTTATATTTGTTTGTTTTTATAGCGATTAAGATGATAACACAATGTTGACTGCTGTACCCCTATTTTTGATATTTTTACCTATTGTGTCTGTTTGTTTTGTTCACGCATCGTTGTCAATATAATGGAATTTGATGCGACTGTCATACAAGTAAGAGGTTTAGCCAGCTATAAAACCAGGTTCAATCCACCATTTTCTACATAAGAAAATGCCTGTACCAAGTCAGGAAAATGACAGTTGTTATCCATTCGTTTGATGTGTTTGTTTTTTTGATTTTGCCATTTGATTGGGGACTTTCCTTTTTGAATTTTCCTCGGAGTTCAGTATTTTTGTGATTTGACTTTTTTCAAGATAATTGCCAAAAAATAGCCAAAAATGGACATCTCGGGGGCTATAACACAAGAGTTGTCCGATTTCTCTGAATATTTCACGGTGAATAGGTGACCTGCTGATAAAATGTAATTTGTCAATTTTGTTAACTGCTCTTAAAGTTTCTGAAATATAAATCAAAACTGTTCTTTTTGTAGTGATAGCGGCCATATGTGCTGGTCAAGGAATAATAGTCTACACAGTTATGCAAGTAAATACACCAATGACAAACGTGGTGGTTTGGTCATAATCCATACAGAGGTTTCCAAACGATCTAACATAAAGGTAGTATGCAACTGTAGTTTATTATCCCCCATTTGGATTATTCATTTGAAGTTAGTCAGGGAATTAATCGGAAAACAAAATGATTTCTGAATATCCTTTATGTCATTACCTTCGGTTTCAATTTTATGCCTACTTCTGATGACATTAGTCTCATCTCCCTTCCCATCTACCCAGTTTAACAAATGTTATAGATGGTAGAAAAATCATCATGAATCAAAGGTCTTTGAAAAACACTAACAATGGTTGTTACAATCATGAGAACATTTTATTTACTGGGACTTTCATTTAAACTGAAATTAAAATATATAAAGAAATACTCTGCTGTTTTCACAAATATCTAAATAAAGTGTCATAACGGTGTAATTCTAGTAAATCATGTAAGAGCAACTGAAAAGACAAGGACAGGGTGCAGTTCCAAGGGCACAACGATAAAAATTTCAACTTAATGAATGTTCCAACATGCTCATCACAATTTTAGGATGTAACAATGAACCTGGTTTCAAGGAGATACAATAGAATATATAAGAGAAATTGAGAAAAGGAATGGAACAACATAAGCAGTCCAAGTTGCCAATGACCTGTCAATTTTGATTCAAGCTTGATAAAGTGTTTAAGATAATATACCAGCCAACTACTAGTAATACAACTCATTATATTTTACTTTTATAGAACTGGCAACTTGGCTTCTAAAAATACAGGCTGGGAACTCTTAAAGTTATTTTCTGCAGCCAAATGCTGGAAAACCTTTAAGTTTTGTATCTGGAGAAGAGTAAAAATAAAAAAAAAAGTTCATTATTTAGAATTAACAGAAGAGATCAAAACTTGTTTTGAATAATCGCAAAATCTTTGAAAATTGGAATCCATTGAATTAAAGTTCGCCTTAGATGGATTTGGCTATTCTTTAAAATGTGTTACCATTGGTCATACGGCAACTCAGGTATTCAAGAACTTATCCATCCTTGGCTTTCCTGATGAAGGTAAATTTAGAGAAGCGCTTCAGATGCACCAAATTTATAAAGTGTTATTTTTATTTTTCCTACCTCAAAATGTAAAACTTGGAAATCAAAAACAATAAGAAAAAGCATGAGTATTTTATTTAATAGAACATTGTGTATAAAGATTGCATTATAAATTTAAATGTAGACAAAACAATTTGCTGGATTTCTGGAAATAAAATATAACAGAACTGAATATGTATACGTTGAACTATGAACAAAATCATTACACATGCATATTTATTAGTTCATGATAGAGATTGTACATCTCAAAGTGAAATACTTGATTTATTTCAATTACTAACATAAAAGTGTGTTCTAATGTATGGCCATGGGCCATGTAAATGACTATGATTTATTATTATCTTTTGAAATAAGCCAGTCGTAATATTTTTTTCAGTGAAATGTTGTAATGAATAATTTGTAATTTCATTTATACATTAAAAAAAGGTTTTTACTATTGTTCACCCAAAATGTATCATCATCAACAAAATTGAAGAAATATTTGATCCGTAAAATGAACATCTAATTTTTCATTTTTTCATCATTAAAGTTACCTAAAAATGCATGAAATAAAATATCATTATAATGGATGAGGAATTTCATGAAATACAATTTCTAATTTATTTGCTTATCTTTCTTTTATTCTAATGGATATCATTAGTTTTCATTCTTGACCGCAAGTTTTCCAACTAGAACACCAGGATTTAGCTCTTCACATGAGCAGTAAGTTTACTTTGAATATTTTTGTGTCTGCAAGGGATGATTCCTTGATTCTTAATTATACTGAATTGTCTTGTGAAGTTAGTTTCTCTTTGCATTCCTAGGAAAATTAGCTTGAGTCCAACACATTTTACATATAAAAGAAAGATATGCACTGAGCCAAATAAAAACACTATAATAAGGACTATGAAACAGATTTGATTTTTACATTGAATGTTATATTTCTGTAAAGTGATCATTTATCAACATTCAATTGCAGCAAAAAGTACAATAATATATCATACTATACCCTTACATTGACTTTTTCCAAAATTTTCAAAACTTCTTATCAGCCAAACCCAATATGTTTTACCCTTGTCCCCGTAGTTACCCCTTCTTTCAGTTTAACATAATTCTTTCACAACCGTTGAAATAATATCTATGTCAAAAGCAACAAAGCTCACATTTATCTTTATTTCTTGTATATATTTTTTTGTGTAAGTAATGTTCATTTATCACAATGATTACCACAGTTAGAATAGAATATTTTGATTCATATAACAAATATACAATATGTTTATATACATTATCTACAATAATATCACATTCTGTTGAGCAACCTTCATCTCATAAGAAGTAATCTTAAACTTTATACTTCTTTGGAAGTAATCTAAATAACTAAACTTCTTTACGAAAATTCATAACAAATAATTTAAATACATCACTAACTCATGCAATTCATTTAATCATTGTTTACTCTAAGATACTGGTGTACTAAAGCTCTAAAATCCATACATAGATTTATGAATGTTGTTGAAATGTGGAAAAATAACTCATTTTAGCTATGTTAACTTTATTTCAGAATAACACACAATTAATATCAGTTAATAATATTCTGTTTGATTTTAATGTTATGACATTTTAGGACACTAAGTTAATAAAATATTAATTTATAATTCAATTGAAAATAATGATTTTTAATACTGTTAAAACACTGTACGTCTGATAAAGAATCTAATTTTTCATTCACTGCATTAAAACCAATAGTGACACTCACTAAAATGCCAAATTTTTGAATTGATGCACAGGCTTAGCTCTTATTTGACTGGTTCAGTTTGGGCTGTTCCACTTTCGGGGCTTTACCATAATGTGCATCATTCAATAGTAAGCATTTATTATCATGTGCTATAAGAAAGCTATGCCAGCTTGATGGAAAATACTCTTAAATATTATGTTTTTTTCTGTAGAGAGAATTGATGGCCAAAATGTAAATGAGACTAGGTGTCCAGAAATTTATTATGAGACCACTTAGATTGGACATAATAATATCTTATCAAGAAATAGAAACCCTGTTTTCTTTTAATATCATAAATGCAAGTTTAATGATACAGATAAGGGATCATTTCTACTTCAAAAAATTGTGTGCAATCATCTGGTACCATAAGGATAATTATTAGTCTTTTTGTTAAGGATGAATGTGTCTTTACAGCATATAAAATTGTACACAATGACAATTGACTTAATTTGCCGATTTGCATCAAAATACACCTCAATTATTTTTACTTTTCTTTCGTTAAGATTTCTTGAACTAATCACATGTGTATTTACATTTCGACTGTCACTTGTTTGCATGATTTTCATCATCAGAGTTGTTGCTTCAGTAAGTGATTAAAGCCATAAAAAGTTCACACCAGTGTCCTAAAATGTGGAACCAAGCATCACAGCACACGCTGAAACTTCTATTATTGATTAGGATGTTGAAATTGTAAAATGAAAATTTATGTTCAAAAATAATTTTGTTAAAATTGACGAAAATCTATACATTAAGTTTAATTGGCCTCTATAGACATTTAAGTTGATTGATATTTCCTCACCAACAGACGATTTTTCAAAGTATAAATAAACCCAAGCAAGTATTAAATGCAACATTTAACAAAATCCTAATTGCACAATGAAATATGAGGTATTTGGAATATTGAAGCTTTAAGCAATTTGTTTCCAACACTTTATCTTCACAACATACTACATTAACCTTTTGTTAGATAATTTAGTAAGCTTAGATCATTTTGATCTCATTACATATTCATAGGCAGAGAGTTTTGTTTGAAGGCTTAAACTACAGACAGAAGTTTTGTTATTCAATATGAATGTATTTATAGTTTATACTCCTGAAAGACAAAAACGTTTATAGTTTATACTCCTGAAAGACAAAAACGTTTAAATATATAGTATCAACACCTTTTACTTTGAAAAATTAGAAAATTACAACACATGCAATTTATTGGCAGCTTCTTTTTAAACAATTTTAACTAGCCATTTCATCTATCCATGTCCTTCAACAATTAAATTATATTGCTTTGTCTGATTATCTTCACCAATGTCCTCTCCACCACATTGAATCAGGTTAAAACATCTACATCCCATGTCCATCTGAAAACTGGATCAACTGAGAATGCTTAGCACCATCAATTATGATTGGATATTATGTTGTGATGTCACTTCCTTTTACTTATGGTAGATCTGAGAACAAGAGCGCCATCTATCCAGAAATTAGGTCTATCTACCATAGCCTGCCAAAACGAAATCTCCTCTCCTCTTGCATCTATCCAATCTACTATCTTACCATAACTTTTCCCTGAAATTAAAATCATTACCAAACATCATAAAATCATTCAAACTTCCATAAAATAAAAAAGTGAGTTACAGTTACTTTTCTGTACTACACAATTTTAGAAGAATTTCACTCAACTTATGTTCCAAATAAAACAAAAACCATAAACTGCTAACACAGAGATATTTCTCACCTTTTTTGTTACTTTGATAGTAAAATGCAAATGTTGAAATTAAAATAGCAATACTTAAACACCTAAGTTATGCAATTTATTCAAAGTCAATGAACAATGATTGAAGGTCCAGGCAAAACAATCTCCATGGAAATGAAATGGTTCAATGCTAATACAATTGCATACCAAATATCATTGACCTATCACTAGCGGTTCCCCAAAACCTGGCCTAATCACAAACTTATACATGTAAACTAAGCAAAAGTTTCAAAGTCAATAGACCATGACTGAGGGGGCAGGGCAAAAGAATCTCCTTGGAAATTAGATGTGCCAATGCTTTTACAACTGCATATCAAATATTATTGACCTACCACTGGTGGTACCTCAAAAACTGACCTAATCACAAACTAATATATGTAAACTAAGCAAATGTTTCAAAGTAAATAGACTATGACTGAGGGGGTAAGGCCTAATAATCTCCATGGAAATGAGATGTGCCAATACCAATACAACTGCATACCAAATATCATTGACCTACCACTAGTCATTCCCCATAAACTGACCTAATCGAAAAAACTAATACATGTCAACTAAGCAAAAGTTTCAAAGTCAATGGACCATGACTGAGGGGGAGGAGCCAAATAATCTCCATGGAAATTAGATGTGCCAATGCAAATACATATGCATACCAAATATCATTTAGCTTCCACTAGTGCTTCCTCACAAACTGACATAATTACAAACTAATACATTGTTGACGACGCTGCAGTTGACGCTGGAAACAGCATACCTATGTCTCGCTTTTTGACTCCGTCAAGGCGAGACAAAACCATCAACATTTTTCAAAATAAGTATGGTAAAAGTCATTCTTGCAGGTCTGCAGAAATTAATTTACAAATTGAACACTCACATCATTCTCTGATCTCTTTCATTTCAACTTTACTACCTCACTATATAACATTAAAGATTAACAAGAATGTGCATGCACTGTTGTGCAAAGTATACCCCAACTTGTTATAAAATTATTTAACATTGATGAAATATTCCATGCTAATTAGGTATATCAAAAAATATAAGTATCATTAAACAGAAACTGATCTGAAAATTCCTTGGAGGGTAAAACTCATCATTATAAAGTTCCAGACAACATATCAAATCATTCATTATCACAGAAGTGGAGTAATATTTAACAAAACATTTATAGACAGACAAGGTCATTGCAGTTAATCACTTAATCCACGAGTGAATGTATAACAATGTTCATATACATCCAACAAAATTTGGTTCAATCGCTTAAGAAATACCAATGTACATTGAGAGAAATCATAACTGTACCTGTTCCCAGATTCAGGCTTACTCCTCCCAAGAAATCATTACTGGACAGCTTGTCATGGTCCCATATTGTCAGCTCCAATGACTTCTCTCTCAGATTTTCAGCAGTGACATCTTCAAACACCATAGTACAATTCCATGCAGGGTTGCATTCTTTTTTGATCACTTGTGTTTTCTGTTTTTCTTTATCTGGCTGTAATTGCCTGTAATAAATATAAAATCACAGTCTACTACAGTTAAGTACTGTAAATTCAGTAATTATTGAGAGCTTTTTATGAATGCGAATAATGTGACTGGGTGAGTATTGCAATAATAAGAACTTGCATTTTGATATCTGATACATATATATGTAGGACTCAAATCTATGGTGGGTTCCAGATCTATGGCAGATCCCTAATCTATGGCAAATATGACGTCATGCCATCCCAAATCTATGGCAAATTTGTTACAATCCTAATCTATGGCAAGTTTTGTAATTTCCTAATCTATGGCGGATTTTTGTTGTTTCCAAATCTATGGCAAATTTTGTACATATGGAAAACAAGGCAGTACATACACGACAGATGCCTTTTCTTAATCAAGTGAAAATGTATGAAAACGGAAGCATGTTTATAAACATTTTTGAAACAAACATTCCATACCATAATACAGACTTCAGGATTAAGATGATGCGCCCCGGAAAAATAAGCATTTCTTATCTGTGCATGGTACCTGTTTAGTCTATTTATTAAACCAACTAATAAAAATGGTAGCCCCATGACAAACAAAGAAAGCAGTTTTTTTATGAAAAGAATTAAACAGTTTAATTTTTCATATTATTTTTATTTGAGCGTTAATCAATTTTTTTTTAACTAATGACGATTTAAGTCAAAGTGGTATCCTGTTATTTCATCTCTCACTTTATATACTTTGCCAGGCGTAGATGTTAAAATATTAATTATAACTCCTTTCCTAAAATATCCACTTCTTAAAACAGCCGTGCCTTTATTCATCGCGGGATTCGGCCAGTACAGCACATCTTCCTTTAAACCATCGGCAAATTGATTTTAGAGGGAGAGTGTTTCCCTGTGTTTTTGTTTGTAAAAATTTGAAATCTGTGAACCCGTGTTAAATATTTGTTTTTGGTTTACATCATACAATTAAAAGAAAAAAAATATAAATGGTGTTCAAATCTATGCCAGTTCTGCCAAGGTTAGCGCCGGCGACGACGACGTAATTATGGCGTCATTAAATTGTGACGTTATATGTTACTCTTTTCCCCGGAAAATTACGCAATTTCAAGATCTGCCATAGATTTGGAGAAAACAAAAAACTGCCATAGATTTGATTTGTAACGTCATATTTGCCATAGATTAGGAATCTGCCATACATTTGCAACCCACCATAGATTTGAGTCCTACAAATATGTATGCAGATTTTTCTGAAATTGCAATAATTAATCTTGTATGATAAATGCAAACAATAATTTCTGAATTTACAGTACATTGTAGAGGGAAAAAACCTTTTTAAATAGCTTTACATTTTGGAGTTAAGTGTGTTGTCCATTTTCATTGAACTAGTACACATTTTTGTTTAGGGGCAAGCTGAAGCCCACCTCTTTTTACAAATAGCTACCTTTTTTTGCAATTGTGGCCTTAACCTTTGATCTATTGACCTCAAAATAGACTGGCCTTATGCTATCAACCATATCAATAACATGAATAACACTAACCCTTTACAGAAAGGATCCGAATAGCCATTAGATCTGACAGCAGTTAAGTTTATAGCCTCCTTGATAAGCACATGTAGCTGGCCTTTGTCTCCAGGCAGTTTGGGTTTCCTTGCCTTCTTCCGTGATGGAGAGGGGCAATCTCTGTTTACTTGTTCTGGAGGAACATACTTCAGACAGAGAATGATGTCCCCTTTATAAGTAAGGAGAGATGTTGGCTGTTCAAACTGTAAAAGATAGAGTCTCTCTGAATGGATCATAAGTGTCAACTCCATGTCTTTGTATACAATGTTTGCTTGAATTGTTCAGCATGTTAAAACTAGATACTTATAAATAATATCAATGAATCCAGTGTTCCAACTTCTATAAATCATTTATCCATTGAAGATTTCACAAAACGATACTTGCCCAAATAAAGCCTGTCAACATTTGCCAATGGATTGATTTCTTTGAAATATACGTGAAAAAATACTTTTGATTCTAAATTTCAAAAAATAAACTAAACTTCTAAACCTACCTTATCAATAAATCAATTATTTAAACAAACAATATAAACCATAAGGTGACATTTTTATCAATGTTAAATTTATTTCTGCAAATTTTGAATTTTTCAATTTTAATTAAAATATGTGTTGCTATAAAATTATTTTTACTTAGTATATCAATCTGTTAAAAAAAACTTGATAAATCAAAATTGATATTTAAAAAGAAAAAGGTAAGAAAAACTACCAGAAGACATTTTTCTACAATCTTCTGGATTAGTTTTTCGGGGAAAACTTTAAGATTGTAGAATTGATGGAAAAAAATGACTAAACCAGTGAGTCCTAGGCAAAGAGTGGCTTCAATAACATTGAAAGCAAATTTTTCTTTACAAAAAGAAAGGTGTATTGGTGTATTGATTGTGTCAATCAATCAATTACATTGTGTGTTTGACTGTGACATAACTTTTTAAAATCCTAGTGTTTATCTATTGTCTAACATTGCTCTAGAATTGTGAACAGACATGCAAAAGAAAAAAAAAATTAAGAAAAAAAAGTCCCAATACATAATCTAAGACCGTTATAGAGACAATAGACTGTCCATTGTTTAAGACTGTATATTAACCCTAGATGCATGTCTTTTTTGTATTGTATTATATAGGTTAGTATAGACATACACAATACACTAATGATTTTTTGGGCCAAATTCATGTGTAGTCTCAATTCATGTATTGTTGATCCTAATCAAATAATATGGATTAAATGAGAAAATTGTAATAAATTAAAAATATCAAATAGACAGTAACCACACAACTAGATGAAACAAAGACATCGAGAGATATTTGTTCTCTCCGTTTCACTTATTCAAAAAAAGAAATTAGTTACTGTAATACATAATGTTAAATATAAAATATATGATATGATTATTAAATGTACATGTTGTATGAGTCTGAATATAATAGGTAAAAAATCCTCTTCACTAATCAATGCCTGGAAGTAAAGAGAGACATCACATGATACAAAAATCAATTTCAAAAACATCTTTTACTTATAAATCCCCAAAGTAGTGACTTCTATCAACTAGAACTGATGTCTTGCCAGTGAAGTGCAATTAAGAATTTTCAAGAACCAATATACATGTATATATACAGATCACTTTCATAGTTCAATCATTAGGAAATTGAGATTAAAGTAAAAGACCCTGTCAGCTGCACATATTCTCTCTTTGAGATTTTAAATTCTCTTACCAAACATTGGTAATGAATCCATTTTTTCCTTGAATCAGACCTCCCCTAAACTAACATTTTTTTTTCTGATTTAAAAGTAAATTGAC